GGAGGAACCTCTGACGTTTGGCGAGTAACCCAGACTGTCAACGAGTAGCTATGATCGTAATAAGGCGAGAAAGTGTGAAAGAGGTGAAGCTTAATATTCAGGTCTAAGCTTTCATTAATGCCCAGTAAGTGGTGGGGTACTCGGGTGGTGTGGGGTGTGGGTGGGTGTGTGTGTGGCGTGTGAGGGGCGGGGGGCGTGTCGCTGGGTGTATGTGTGATGTGTGCAGGTTGGGGGGTGGGGGGGCGGTGTATGGTGTGGTGGTGGCTGTGTGGGGGGGGAGGGGGGGGTATACAATTGTCGTGGTGTGATATAAACACTAAAAAAAAGGCCGGACCGACTGCATGTTATTAACCACCGCTAACTTGCTAACTCTAGAGTCATCGATCAGCCCATATCGATAATCGATCATCGAGCGTGACGATGCGCGTTGCTAGACTAAACTAGCTCACGTCTGTACAAGACAGGTATGAAAACCCGCTCTCTGTCTGCGCTCTCTCTCTCTCTCTCTCTCTCCTCCTCCTCTCTCTCTCTCTCCTCTTCTCTCTTTCTCCTCTCTCTCTCTCGTCCTCTCGCTACGCCGCCGTCGCGCGCGCGCACACGCAACACACACAAACACACGCACACGCACACGCACACGCACCGCACCGCCACCACCGCACACCTCACACACACACACACACACACACACACACACACACACACACAACACACACAACACACACACGCGCGCCGCGCTAGCGCCACGCACACAGACAGACACACACACCACAGAGCCGACAACACACATGATAACAGGACACACCACCACACACACCACACACACACACAGCACACACAAGGGACACACACACACACACACACACACACACACAGAGACACGACACACCACACACACAGAGGCGGACACACACACACACCACACACACACACACACACACACACACACACATTCTGACTCTCATTCTCTTTCATTCTTTCTCATTCTTTTTGTATATATCTTTCTCTTTTCATCCTTATCTCCCCTCTCCCTCTGTTCCTTCTATCCTTTCCTTCCCCCTCTCTCCTCTGTCCCTCCCCCTCTCTCCTCTGTCCCTTACCCTCTTTCCTCTGTCCCTCAGCTCTCTCCTCTTTCTCTATCCTAGCATCCAGATTTTGGTAAGCACTGT